GTAATTTTATTTAAATTTTATTTTAAATATGTATTAAATTTTTCTTTTTTATTTTTTGCGAGTATCCGCGGGTTTTAAAATACCTGCAAGTATTTTTTAAACGGGTTGTGGGTCGGGTAGCTGGTACAATTTTATCCGGCGGGTCGGGTTGCGGATAGGCACTACCCGTGTCCGACCGGACCCGTTGCCATCCCTAGACCTTTCCCTCTAATTCCATCTTCAATTCTTTCATCAATGAACACAGCCAAGCTGCCTGACACGTGGCTTCACAGGCAGCAATGTATTCTGCCTCACAGGATGAAAGAGCCATTACTGGTTCTTTTGTAGAGCTCCATGAAATTGGTGCTCCACTAAAAAAGAACACGTACCCAGTAGTACTCTTCCTATCACCCTTATCCCCACACCAATTTGAGTCTGAGTAGGCATTAATTCGTACCTCTCCTCCTGGTTCCCCTCTCGGCAACAATATTCCAAAGGTGTATGTACCTTTTAAGTACCTCAGGATTCGTTTAACAACATTCAAGTGAGAAATTCTTAGATTCTGCATAAACCTGCTAATCAAACCTACACTGTAGCTGATGTCTGGCCTAGTATTACATAGATACCTTAGGCTCCCAACCATCTTTCTGTATTCAGTAGGATCAACAACTTCTTCTTCATGGTCTTTTTCCAGCTTCAAACTCACCTTTGCTGGAGTGTTTGCAGAGTTGCAATGAAGCATGTCAAACTTAGTTAACATGTCCAATGCATATCTGGACTGATGCATCAAAATTCCACCATCAGTTTTGGTAAATTCAATCCCAAGGAAGTAGCTTAACCGCCCCAAATCACTCATTTCAAATTCCTGTAACATTTGAACTTTGAAATCAGTGATTTTCTCCTCACTGCTCCCTGTGATTAACAGATCATCCACATACAAACACAATATCAACTTCTCTTCTCTCCTATTATCCTGACAACACTGAACATACACTCCATGTTCAAAAGCACACTTCTCAAACCCAATGCTGCTCATAAACCCATCTATTCTCCGATTCCAGGCCCTTGGAGCCTGCTTGAGCCTGTATAGAGCCTTCTTCAATCTGTACACCTTATCTGGATGTCTCTTGTCTTCAAATCCCTGAGACTGAAGAACATAAACTTCTTTCTCCAGGTTACCATTCAAGAATGCAGACTTTACATCTAATTGATGCAAAGTCCAGTTGAACTGTGTTGCCAAGGAGACCACCAATCTAATTCTCTCTATTATGGCCACAGGTGCAAACACCTCTCCATAGTCTATCCCAGTCTGCTGTAAAAACCCTTTGGCCACCAATCTGGCCTTGTACCTAATCACAACACCTTGTGGATTTATCTTGGACTTATAAATCCATTTCAGTGTTATTGGCTCCTTGTTGGGAGGCAACTTTGTCAATTCCAAGTTCTGATTCTTCACTATTGAATCTAGTTCTTCCTGCATAGCCTTGTACCACCTTTCGTCCCTCACTGCTTGATCAAACTCCACAGATTCAGCTTCTGCTATTAAAGCATAGCGAACAAAGTTACCTTCTGATGAAATGGTTGCATCATAGGCTAGATCATAATCTCTCAGGTGTGTTGGCAGCTGACTGATTCTAGATGATCTTCTAACACTCTCCTCCCTCCTGCATGCCTCTGACTCCACTGTTGCAAGTTCATCCTCCAACACAATGGTTGGTCATTCTTTCCAATTTGATTCCCACTGCCATATCCCAGCTTCATCAACTACAACATCTCTGCTGATAGAAGCTGCTCCTGTTGTAGGATCATACAACTTATATCCACCCGTAGCATTATAGCCACCAGAATCAATGAAACCCCTTTATCATCCAACTTCTTCCTCAACTGATCAGGTACGTTTCTGTAGCATAGAGAACCAAAAATCTTCAGATGTTTGACATCTGGTTTCACTCCTGTCCAGGCCTCCTCGGGTGTAATACTATTCAGTCTCTTTGTTGGAGACAAATTCAAAATGTAGGTGGCTGTCAACACAGCCTCACCCCATAGAAAATTAGGCAGCCCTTTACTCTTCAGCATACACCTAACCATATTCAATAGGTTCTGTTCTTCCTCTCTACTGCCCCATTGTGTTGTGGTGTGTAGGAAGGGGTAACTTCATGAACTATTCCCTCTCTTTCACAATAGTTTTGAAATCAGTGGTACTCTCCTCCTCCATCTGTTCTCAAGACTTTCAGTTTCTTCTCACTTTATCTTTGAACAACATTTTTAAACTTCTGAAACATTTGTAACACCTCCCCCTTTCTTCTCAACAAGTAGACCCAACATTTCCTGGTCCAATAATCAATGAACAATAAGAAATACCTGCTGCCCCCAGGTGTTTCTACTTGTATAGGGTCACACACATCTGAATAGACCACCCCAAGCTTCTCTGCAGATTTCTGGGGTAAGAATTTTTGAAATCTGCCTCTGGTCTGCTTGCATTGGACACACTCCTTGCACATTGTTTTTGGGATGTCCACCTCTGGTAAGCCAATCACCATCCTCTTTTGACTTAACTGGGATAGATCTTTAAAGTTTAGGTGTTCAAATCTGAGATGCCACAGCCATTCCTCCTTGTTCTCTGTTGCAGTAAAACACTTATGATTTACTGCCTCCATCACCACCTTAAATGTTCTGTTCTGTGACAGCTAAGCCTGCACAACAATCTTCCTATTCTGGTTGAAAACACTAAGACAATTGTTCTCCATTTTCATCATGTAATCCTTATGCAAAAGTTGCCCCAAGCTTAGCAAGTTGGTCTTCAAGCCAGGTACATACAGTACCTCTTCAATTATCACTTCTCTTCCATCTTCACCTCTCAAAACCTCCCTGCAAGAACCCTATGCAGCCAAGCTGCTGTTGTCTGCAAATCTAATTTTACCATGTCCAACCCCATGCATTCTCACAAACCAATCATTTCTCCCGGTCATGTGAGTGAAACATCCAGAGTCTAAATACCACACGGTATTTTCTGGTTGATTTTCATCAGTATTGGCCATCAAGATTACTGCTTCAGAGTCTGAATCTTCCTCATGGGCCAGATTAGCCCTCTTCTTGGGTTTATTTTTCGCCCCCTCTCCCTTCCAGCACTCCTTAGCATAGTGGTCATATTTCTAGCAGTTGTAACATTTGACTTTCTTTTCGTCAAAATTCCATTCTCCATCTGCATTCTTCTGATTTTTCACCTTTCCTGACTGATTGTACTCTTCCCCTTGCTGGTCCTGTGAGTCTTTCCCTTTCTTGCCTCCTTTTCATCCTTTCTTGAACCCTTTCGTGCCTTTTAACTGTGATCTGGCCTGTAGGGCTTGCTCTTGACACTGCTTGCGCTCATTGATGCGATACTCATGAGCCTTTAATGAGTGCAACAACTCCTCAATCTCCATGGTCTCCATATTTCGAGCCTCCTCAATAGCCACCACAACATGGTCAAATTTGGATGTTAGAGTTCTCAGGATTTTGTCAACAATATACTCATCAGAAATCCCATCTTTACACGCCCTCATTTTATTCACCAATTCTTGTACCTTGTCAAAATATTCTGCCACGATTTCACTCTCATCCATGACTAGAATCTCAAACTGTCTTCTTAGTGCCTGCAATTTCACCTTCTTGTTCTTGTCTCCATCACCATAGGTCTTCACTAGGATGTCCCATACCTCCTTAGCAGTAACAGCCTTGGAGATCTTGTTAAAGATCTTTGGGCTGACACACTGGTAGAGCAAGAATCTTGCCTCTAGTCATCAAACTGCTTTCCATCAAATACTGGTAATGGTCCCTGTAATCCTCCAATTCCCGACATCCTTTCTTGCTAGATTCTTGTAGTTTCTTTGATTTTCACACACCCAAAGAAACCTTCTTTCGCCTCTTCTGGATACACACAATTTCAGTCACAGATCACACACCCACTTCACACACCCACTTCACACACACCAGGAAATACAGCCTATGCTCTTGATACCATATTAGACTTAGGGGCAAAAATGAGAAAACGCCAAACCAAATATCTCTGATGTTTAAAAGTAGTGCTGCCACGTGACAAGAGAGAGAACTTGAAATGTCGAAAATTTTAGAGAGAGAGAGAGAGAGCAGAGAGAAGCGCTCTGCTACGGTTCCACCTTCTTCCACCAGAGACGGCCAGAGCCACCACACATCGGAGCAAACAAAGAACAAGACAGAGAGCAAATGAAGACACTTAAGGTACTGAATGTCTTCAAAATTTCATTACTTTCAAAGTATGACATTACAGAGTTTTTATATGCATGAAACAAATTGAAATGTAACTGATACAACTTTGTTTTTGTTTTTTCTAACAGAGATGGCGTGAGGGTGACAAGAGAAGAGATGATGATGATGTATATGTCCCAGACACATTGCCCCCTGTTCAATTATCACCAACAGCAATGAAGATTGATAAACACGTCTATCTGATACCTTAAAAGAGGGGAAAATGTAATAAATATAAAGTATTTGAAATGACACTGTTCTTACATCACTTAGAACTATAATATGATATCAATTACTCATACAAGATCTAAGCAAAAAATAGTTTTATTCTTGACCCAAAAATATTACCATACTCATACGAATGAAGGAGAAAGAGTGCAAAGCAGAGTAGGAAAATCCACCAGGTTTGAGAGGAAGAAGTGGAAACCCATCACTTGGGGACCCACAAGCACACGTCCTTCACTCTGAAGTAACAGAATGGCTGAGGTGGCAGGGGGGAAATCATGGGAGGATCTTTTCGTTACATTCTCTCTGTTTTGGCTCTGTGTTCTGAATTGTATGAACATCAGAATTACTGAATATAGAAAACATTATTATTCCCTTGTTTCTCGTGTTTCTATACGAGGATACCTAACACATACAATTTTTAATCCATGTTTTTCATACCGTTTGGTAAAAAGCAACTCACTATTGCTATAAAAAATCTCAAGCCCTTTTCTTCTACTGATAGAAAATCAATTATAATACTTTCCAGTGACTGAAATATAACTTGATTTAGTAGAATTTCTTTCTCAACCTTTTTCCAAGTCAATTCTATCTACTAAACCCCAAACCAAATGGACACTAGGCATTGGAAAGTACAGAAATCAATTTTACAGCTCTAATGACCTCAGAGTTGGGTTGAGGTTTCACCCGCACACCAGCATTTACATCTACATAAATTTACAAGATGTAGGCAAAGGGAAAAAATATGTAGTTTTTTTACCAGGTGGAAGCCATCACCCTTTCTCCCCCTATGACTTATGGCAGAGGATAATAAATCTGCTTGCTCTCAGCCAGTGGTGACAATGGCAGTGTAAATGGCTCAGTTAAAAATATCGACATTTTCCAACAATCTCGTGCATTTCTACTGTAACAAAAGTTTCAGCTGATAGCCTCACACAATGGGGATTGGAATGCTCTTGCTGTTGACATTATGATGCATTTGATTTTGCACAGCCTTGACAGAAGCTACTCTAGCTGCATTGGCTGCTCTGTTAGCTGCTGTTACTGCTCTATTCACCCTTTCATCTACCTTGGCCACATCATAGGCCTTCTTAGCTGCTCTTCTTGCTTCCTGTTTGTTCACAAACAAACACATTATTAATAATGAAAGCTCGTGATGAAAACTAACTGTTTGCAGTTAATTTTGTCTTTTCTTTCCTTCTATTTAAATGGGCTAATTTGATGCATATAAAAAAAACGTTCTCTCAGCTTTGTCAATATGAAAGAATTGTATACAGTCAGAACTTTGGACAGAACGAGTGGCACCTTATTGATTATTAAATAAATAGGGGGCTTTGACCATAATATCTTATTCAACAACTCCTGAATCTAGCTGAAATCTGTAAAAATTCTGGCTAATTTTTCCTATAATGTAACACTATTTTTTTCAATTGGAATTTCAGTTAAAAAGCACCAATTCACACTCAGATAAGAAACCAACCTTGGAGACAGAAACACAACCAAAGAAACCATTACCAACAAGTTTGTAGATTCAGTAATAAAAAACTACAAGAAAGTATTATGATATACATGATATCAATCAGAATTACCAATAACTCGGGTCATAAAAAAAATTCAAAGCACATAATTAAAGCTTAACACATTTTACATTTCTTCTTCTAGATATGCTTAAATTACACTTTACCCTCTTACTTTAAATACATTCCCCAGCCTTGAAAGATGAACAGAAGCTACATCTATTTTAATGTAAAAGAACATTTTAGAGTTTTTTCTTTCATTGTGATTCTTGACATGATTGTTGATGTCAATTTCATGACCTTAAAAAATGAAATAAAATTTTGATGAAATTTCAAAACCAATAATACCGCTATATAAAGCTAATTGCTAGTGATAATCAAAGCCATATAAAAAGGTAAAATATTATTGGGAGGTGCATTTGTAATTGTTCACAATTGTTTAAGAGTTTTTTTATATTGAAAGTTATTAAGATGTTCAAGAGAAGGGAATGCAGCGTAAGCATCTCTCAAAAGATGATAATGCAATGTACTCATAGAAGATTGATACATCATTTGCCATTGTAATAAAATAGTAAAGCATCAATGACAAAATGTAATCATCCATACTGTTCATTCTAGGCCAAAGTCTTTTTTCCTTTAATGATAAGCGGGAAAGAACATTAAACAATAAATTAAGGTAAACTAAGTCACAAATGTAGAGTGTACCTGCACTGCATTTAGTACTCTGGAATGATTGACACCAACAGGAGAAACAGGATAGGTGGCACTCTGTGAGCTGGGAGTGTCAATGACTCCATTTTGCCAGTGACCAGACTGGGTTTCTCCATTTCTAAATGCATACATTCCAATTCCTTGCCTTTTGCCTTCATGCCAGGATCCTTCATAACAATGGCCATTTGCAAAACTATATACCCCATATCCATGCATCTTATCCGCAAAGTATTCACCAGCATATGTATCCCCATTTCTGATAACAAAAATAATTAGTTACAACAAAAGAAAAATACTATTACCAGTAAGCAAAGAAAAAGAAACAGAATAAAGTCCCATCAAATTCAATTTAATAACACCAATGATACTTAAAAGAGAGGAACCCATATTCAAGGTCAAGCATCCAGGATGGAGCACCAAATTTCGTTAACTGCATGCCTAAGATCCTAGTTCTGATCAGAGAACAAATACGCTTTTTGTTTTTTACGGACTGGTTTCCTTCAGTGGAATAAATAGGGAGATGGAGAGAAGAAGAAAAGACACCACACTTGTAGAAGCTTGCAAAGTTAAATTACATGACATTCAAATGGTTGGAATTATTGCTATGTGATCACAAGGCCATGTTGTGGAATTAGCTTCTTGCAAAGGAACTTGAGACTGTGTCCTTGAAAACACATGCCACGTAATTATAATGGAACACCCTATTGTTTTAAAGTTTTAGAGGTATAAAGCACCTTTGAAACTGATTCTATCCTTGGGAGCAGATACCTCTTTCTCTTGTAAACTGAAAGTAGCAATAACAAAGATAAGTCCTAAGAACATGAATACATACAAATAATGTTTACACTTTAAAGTCCAGTGTTTTCTGCATTTTAGATTTCATACTTTTTGTCAACTTCATAGACAATTATATGATCTTTCATTCAAATGAATCAAAAAGGAATATAAAGTCATAAGGAAATAATGTATTCCCTCAAAATGGTTTTCCAATCTCCCCTTGAATTGGTCTTTCTTCTACAGAAAGACATAAGAGATTATTCACTAAGATAATGAAAATGAACTCAAACAATATCATAAAAAGCTTTATGTCTGCCTCCTTTCCCTTTTACTTTTCCTAGGGAAAATGTTTACTATTTTCCTCAAACTCTTAGAAGATAACAAATACATGAATTATCACAAGTGATATCCACCAATCCAATTTCATTACTGAAACCCTTCTAATATATTTAGGTTTTACTCATCCACAAATACAGAAGCATGCTTGTTTTACCTACTTCATGATTCATATCCCCCATTAAAACTCAAAATGTTGTAGGATAAGAGGGAAGCATTTTCAGACTGATGATTTATATAAGATTAGTAGTTATACACCACTAATGAATGTGGCTTTCTATAATATAGTGATTTAGTTTTACTTTCACAAAGAAGTGGTGTTTCCTTTTTAGCTCCCTCTTCCTTCCTTCTTCTTTCCCCTTGAGTGAGGCCCCACCCGGGTGGCAGGTGGAAGTGGATACAGGTGCTTTTGGACCAAGGGTATCAGTCTCATGCCATCTATTTAAAGCAATTTAGCCAACTTCATGCTTGCTTCATCTAATCTTTGATTTCAATATTAAACTCCCACTTATTTATTTCCACACATCTAGACAATTGGCAGCCAAATGCCAATGCAGGTGAAATAAACTATCATTATTACCGTTACATGTTATTGATACTAGGTCTATTTACCTCTTGGTTTATTCCAGGAAAAAGATACAATAGAAATTAACATCCTAAAATACCTCAAAGCAATTGCTTTGCAATATCTGCATTACATATTACGCTCCATAATTGCTACCAATAGGTACACAACCGAACCAAGTAAATTTCAGATGCCTACGACGTATTTTAGACAAAACAGAAGCCATTGCTGAAGCAAATTGTATATGTTCATCCTCTATGCAAATGCTTTGCACTGTAAAAGTATATTGATGGTAATCCAACTTTCATTTTTTATAAAATAAAACCTAAGACAACCCATGAAAGCAGCAAAAGGTTAAGTCTGAAGAAATTGCCGCAAGCCTACAACAAAACAGACGACAAAGTACATTACCAAATCAAGCCCAACATCTTGCCAAAGTAACTCAAAAGCTTTAGATATACACACAACAAATCGAAAACAAAGAGGTATTCAATTAGTACACAATCAATAAAAGAAACAAACATAACACGGCCACCAAAACATGGTCCATAAGTAAGAAATTCCCATAATCCACAAACCTAAGGAACCAAAGACAAAGCACAAAACCAAACAAACCCCAGTCAGCAACAATTAAACCAACCTCGTACCCAATTTTACTATCTCGAACTTTCAGAATACAAAAAACCAATTATAAACCGTAAAGAGCGTCACTTCCATTAAACAGTTCAATTAAACACTTCAATCAAACACAAACATAGACACACTCTTTCCCTCCCCCACCCCCACCCTCACCAACCATTTCCATACCTAAAATGATAGTGTCCAAGGCCATGCTTGACGCCCCACTTGAACTCCCCCACGTACCTGCTGCCATCCTCGCACGTGTGCACCCCACAGCCATGACTCTGCCCACTGGCCCACTCCCCGGCATAAACATCGCCGGTGTAAAACCGGTACACCCCGAACCCGTGCCGAAGACCCTGGCGGTACTGCCCCCGGTACCTACTCCCCCTGGCCCACGTCTCTACCCCAAAGCCATCGTACTTCCCCTCCACCCAATCCCCCTCATACCTCCCACTCATGCTGTAGTAGTAAACCCCACTCCCACAGCACTTTCCTCCCCTGAACTCCCCCTCGTAAACGTCGCCGTTCGGGTACGCAACCACGCAGAATTGAAACTCGGGCTGGGCCGGGCGGGCCCAGAACACGGGTAACTTCAGCGCGGGCCGGGCCTCGGGCTTGAGGAAGAAGCGGATGGAGGGGATTCGCGGCAGGGCGAGGCTGACCGAGAAGAAGAGCGCGGCGGAGAAGAAGAACGCGGCGAGGAAATCAAGGATGAAGGAGTTTGTAGGGTGGGAGACAAGGAAGTAGAAGAAGGGTAGGGAGAAGAAGATTAAGAGGCGTAGGCGGGAACGGAGGGAGACGACGGAGGATACCCAGGTGGTGGTGGCGGCGGAGGGAACGGTGGCGCGGCACGGTTTTGGAAATCTGTTGAGGATTGGGGATTTGCAGAGGGAGGGTCTTTTATAGGGGACTGTTGAGGTTTGGGTTTGGAGGTTGAGGTTGGGGATAGGGTGGTGGTGGTGGTTGGGGTGGTGGCGGAGCGGGTTGAAATCGGAAGAGACGCCGGTGCTTTCTTTTCCGATCTGAAGTTCGGATTTCTTATGATGCATTACATTAGGGAAATCGTAACCACTTTCTTTCCTTTTCTTTTCCTTCTTCTTCTTTCACTTTCACTGTTTCTTTTTCTTATGATGTTTCTCTTCAAAGAAAAAACAGAGAAGAAGAAAGAAGAAAGTGATTATGTGCGTATTTTTTCTTTTCTTTCTGTTCTCTAACATAATAATTTCGCCAACTATATATTAAAAAGTGGCTAACAAAATCTAAATTAAATTTATGTGATAAGAAAGCTTCAACTATGGTTGAGGGTATTGGTAAATACAATAGTATATTTTATCTTTTGTATTCCCTTACTAATTTTCTAAAATATTTTATAGAATATTAAATGAAAATATAATGTAAGATTATTCTATTTAGTAAGTTGAAGATTAATAAAAGAACCAAGGATTCAAGGTTATCCTTATTATTTATTATTTAACCTTTCTAATTTAGTGTATGCACTGATTATGGGTGATGAATTTGTTTTTTTTTTTCTGGAATGTATTGATTTGAGAGTGAGTTCGACGACATATTTGCAAGATATAGAACATTCTTTATCTAGTTGATATAAGGAGATTTGAATAAAATGTATTTATTCTAAATTGACATCTTGCCATCGATGACCCGTTATGGTTGGTTGTTTTAGTTTTAGTAGGGAACTGATTCCAAGGAGAGGGAATTGACTTCAATGAGAGAAGGTTTAACTTTCTTTTATTTTTCATCAATAATAAATTAATAATACCACAAAAATTAATCTTACATTTTTAATATATTAAAATATTTTTTTATTCTATTACTTCCATCTAATTTTTCATAAACTCCATTCTTAATTTCATTAACTTTCGTCTCAAAATTTATTAAAATAAACGACATAGAGTTTTTAAATTTACTCAAATTCATCTAATTCATTCCCTCTTAGATCCACTTTACCAAACTATCACACGTTTTTTGTTTTTGTCTATTTTCCAAACTTTGTCCTTAGGTCTATCTCATTTTAAAAAATCATAGATTTAGTCTTCAGTTAATTTTTTTTATGTGACAAACAATATGCCACCTTTTAAAGACATGTGTAGTGTGTCCTCAGGTCGGCAAGATAACTCAATGACAAACGATATGTCACATCCATAGCTTAGTAAAGTCGGCAAGACATGTGTATTGTGTCTCCAGGTCAATAAGACATCTGGATAGCTCGGTATGAAGTTCAGATAGTTTGGTAAGGTGCATGGAGAACTCAAATAGCTTGGTGGAAAGTTTAGTAATCCAATAAGGTGCATGAAAACTCATAGCTAGATGAACAATTTAGATAACTCGGATAACACATTGTCGAGCTCTCTAGACTTTCGATCAAGTTATCTGAGTTATCCATGCACCTTACCGAACTATCATAATGTCTTATCAGGCTATCCTAATACAGGTCAAAGGTGAGTGGTAGAGAGGAGCATTTACTGCACATTTATTACTGTTCTATTGAAAACGCCGTTACTCTCAAACTGACTTTGGCATCGGAGAATCTTTGGCAGGTCTCCCCCACCCGCACGCAGAGGAGTGAGACGAAAAGTAAGAAGCGAGACCAGACGACCGAGAGACTGGAAAAGGAAAACGTGAAGGTATTAGACGACTAAACCCCTACAATCGAAACAACTTTCATTTGAAAGATCTTTGAAATACATCTTTTTATTTAATGATTATTGAAACACATATTTTTAAGATAAATTTCTTTTTGATTGGAATCTTATGAATTTTATTTTTTACCTTGTCTCGGTCTAATTTAATGTGACGTTAGTATTCTTGGAAATGTTAAAAGATCTTTATTTAATTTTATGACTTAATGACTTTGGGAAGAGATGCTGTTACAAAAGCACTTTACTGTGATGTCAGTGTACTCTTAAAAAGTAGGACTTTAGATGGTTATTTTCTTTTGTTGAAGTGAAAACAAGCAAAGGAGGAGGGAGAAGGAGAGTGTATTGTGATGGAAATGAACACAGTGAAGATTTTGTTAGGAGCAGTTTTGGCGTTGTTGATTCATGTCTTCAATGTGTTTGTGTTTAGGCCAAGATCAATGAGAGCAAAGCTTCAGAAGCAGGGGATTAAAGGGCCTTCTCCTCACTTCTACTTTGGCAACATCCCAGAAATGAAGAAGATTTTGCTGCAAATTCAGTCAGCAGCACCAGCCACTGAAGTCAAAGAGAAAGATGAAGGATTTTCTCTTTCTCACAACTGGCCTTTCACTCTCTTCCCTCATGTTTATAAGTGGATCAACCAATATGGTGAGTTAATTACTTTGGCCAGTCTCATAAACATGTTGTTTTCTTTCTTTTTGTTTGGAGCAATGAATCGACAACAGTCACTCTTCTTTGCATTCAATGGTTTTTTCTTGTGAGATTCTGATTATAACAGATGAATGGTTCTAAGTGCACATGCTTGCATGCATGACATTTTGGGCTCTTTTACATTTTCTGAGTTGAGTTGGGTTTGAGTCTATTGTGAACTCTTTCTGTTCTTGGTCTGATGATGGAAATGTTCTATAACTGTAAGAGAAACCTTTTCAAAGTCCATAAAAATAAAAGCATTTCACTACTTAGACGCCAAAATCTAGAATATTTTCATCTCTTCAAAAGGCCCTTTTGGTTAAAGGGCTGAAAGAATCAAGTTTTCACAATTTTCAGGTAAAAAGTTGCAATTTTGTTTGTAAGAATGGGTTCAATGGTGTGTTCAAAAGACAAGTTTTCACTTGAAATAATCAAAGCCACATTAAAAACTTGTAAGACACCAAAGAAAAACTGAAAACCCAGAAAAAGGTCAAATTCTTGCAGGAAGAGCAGAAAAGGGTTTGCAAAATATTAAATGAAAGGGTTGGTGTCCTGGCATTGGCAGATTGATGTGATTCTATTGCCATCATTTCTATGACCAAATTTTGATTTCATATGTGCAGGTCCCATGTACTTGTTTTCTTCTGGGTCTATACATTGGCTAGTGGTGTCAGATATAGAGATGGTGAAGGAAGTGGTCATGCACACCTCTTTGAATCTAGGGAAGCCTACATATCTGTCCAAAGATATGTTGCCACTCTTGGGCAAAGGCATAATGACATCAAATGGGTCAATTTGGGTTCACCAGAGGAAGATAATTGCCCCAGAACTGTTCCTTGTTAAGGTGAAGGTAAGTGTATTCTACCCTACCCTATCCTGCTTAAGAGAAAAGGAACGCTGCATTTTCCACAAAGAAGAAATCAATGGGGAGTTCATCAAAATTTGATTACTAAAGATGAAAACTTTATGTTGCTTTGATCCTTGGTAGTGCATGTTTATGCAAAAGTGTCAAGTTCCTAACAAGTTTTCCCTGTTCATGGTCCTTAAAAGTGTCCCTACCCTTAAAAGCTACATAAAGATTGTGTAGATATATGGATCAAATGAGTAGTTAAGGCTTAACCCATTGAGTATGTTGAAGCATTTTGACTCAGAAAACTAATCTAAAAGCAATCTATAAGAGAGCTAAAAAATGTTAGCTATACTGTAATACAATACCAATCTCACGATTGCTTTTGCTGTAAATCATATTGAAGGCAATGGTTAATCTGATGGTGGACTCAACAAATACAACACTAAGGTCTTGGGAGGGTAGACTTGAAGGTGAGGGAGCAGTATCAGAGATTCAAATCGATGAAGATCTTCGAAGTTTGTCAGCTGACATAATTGCCAGAGCTTGTTTTGGGAGCAATTACATTGAAGGAAAAGAAATATTCTCAAAGTTAAGAGATCTTCAAACTCTCTTGTCCAAGCGTCATGCTGGAATTCCAGGCTTTCGGTATGCATGCCAACTAAAAAGACTATTTTATGCTCATCAGTCATAAGAATGTTCAATGTTTTTTTCTTTTGCCAAGAGTCTTTGCACATTTGTATTTCTTGTTCTTGTTCTTGGTAGCTGCTAATGTGAAAAGTGGTGCCGTAATCTGTTTTAGATACTTGCCAAACAAAAGCAACAGACAAATCTGGAGATTGGGGAAAGAGATTGACTCAAAGATAGCAAAGCTCATAAAACAACGTCTGGAGGAAAGTCATGAGCAGGATCTCTTACAAATGATTCTTGAGGGTGCAAAGAACTGCGAGGGTGGTGATGGCCTCATATCAGATTCCATCTCATGTGACAGGTTTATGATAGATAACTGCAAAAATATATTCTTTGCTGGACATGAGACTACTGCCATCACAGCATCATGGTGCTTAATGCTGTTAGCTGAGCATCAAGATTGGCAAGACCGTGTCCGAGCTGAGGTGCTTGAAGTTTGTGGAAAAAATGCTCCTGATGCAAACATGCTTAGAAGCTTGAAAACGGTATGTTATACACAGTATGTGATAAAGATAAATGTTTCCATGAAACACAGGGAACTGATACATTCATCTTCCCTTGGTTTAATTTTCTTGATCCTTGAAATTTTACATCAGAGATTTAGATTGGACACAATGCATGATTACCATATCATGTCTCTGTAGCTGGAGAACTTTCATTGTACCTTTTTCCCACTTCAAATGGATCCCGATCTCCTTGTGCATAAAATAATTTGTAGAAGTTCTATCATATCTTTTTACATTCTTATTTTGCATGAACTAATCTTAGCTTATGAAGGAACTCATTTCATTTTCTATAAAAATTTATTGTTCAAGCAGACCCATAGGCCCGTTGTCTAAAGGATTTTATGTAAAAGTTTCTTGTTCAAGGTTTTGTTGGAATAAAAGGGGCAGTAGTCTAATATGTAGGATACTCTACCGATACTTATCAATGAAGTATCTAATTTATAAAGTACTAATACTATCATGATGATAATAATTTATAATATTTTGTTTTGACATTATTTAATACATGGTATTTTAATTTGGATTTCTACCATAGCAATCACATATTTATTACGTTTTTTTTTAAAAATTGTTTATTTTTCAATATGCATATATCACATATTGTATCCAATTATTTTCAAATTAAACGTTTTGCCATTTTAGATACGTGATACACTTATCGTTTCCATGCATAATAGGCAGTATTATTACATGCAGAAAAGCCAAGAGCATATTTTTGATTTCAGCTGTTTTTATGAAAACAAACTGTTTTATGAACTGAGCTTTCTTAAAAACATTTCATATAAGGTTCTTTTTGGAAAGTTA